CGGCGGCCAGGTGGTTTCGGCCGAGTCCGGCGACCAGGTGGTTTCGGCCGAGTCCGGCGACCAGGTGGTTTCGGCCGTGTCCGGCGGCCAGGTGGTTTCGGCCGAATCCGGCGACCAGGTGGTTTCGGCCGTGTCCGGCGACCAGACGGCTTCGGTTCGAGTCACAACAAATGTAATTATATTCCCAAATTATTATTGATTAAAATTAACTTCATCCGGGGCAAAGCTGAAGTGCGTTAAGCGGAACCATTACGACGGAGGGGGGGGGATTCGTCTTACCTGCTTTGAAAATCGGAGTTTAAAATATTCTTATTTTCATTTTTTCTTTCCTCGATTCGAACACCCACCCAATGCTAGCTAAATTTGTCATGAGTCTGATCTCAGAAAACAAACAACCCCAAAATAAAACGATGACATCGGCCTTTTTTATCACTAAAATTCTGACCTGCATTTCCAGCTCACTGGGCAGTAGTTCAAAAGGAAATGTTATGACACATTGACAGCTACATGATGGTCATATTTTGCCAAACAAGGATTTTAAAGGAGAATCTCGATGTTTTAATACATCTCCAACTTTCTGATTAATAACGTTAATTTGACACATTGACGCCAATATATTGGTCATATAAGATTCTCGTTCTGAATATGATTTTATGGCACATTAACTCCTATACAGTGGTCACGTAGAGCCAAATTGTTTCTTTTTTCATAGATTATCATCGCTGTTAATTACATTTTCAAGTTTATAATTCTTCAGAGGATTAAAAGTGTAGCAATGAAATCCGAAGGCGCATTGGGATAGCGAAAGATGCCTTCCAAAAGCTAAGCAAAGTATTAAGAAATAGGAAAATTTTGTTCGAAACAAGAGAAAAGAGTATTGAACTGTTATGCAATATCAATCCTTCAATATGACCGTGAATGCTGGACAATCTTCTTAATGATGAAGAGGAGACTTGAAGCTACATAAATGTGGTTCTACAGAAGGATGCTGACCGATTCCATGGATCGAACTTAAGAACAATGTCGAAGTTCTTCGAGAAAATGGAAACAAAAAGAACTCTTACACTTAATATCAGAAAGAGAGAGTTGAAGTTTCCAGCGCATATAATGAGGAAAGAGGGTTTGGAAAATTTGACACTCACAGGACATACTGAAGGCAAGAGCGACAGGTGAAAATGACGCATAACCTATCTAGTGAGATTAAATGGTTCTATTAAGAGCTGCAAAGGACAGGAAATAGTGAAGAGCCACGATCACCAACGGCCTGAATCGACACGGCACATAGAAGTACGTCGAGCCTGAGTATATGGATGGCGGAGCAAGGTTTAGGAGATAACAAAAAGACAGTTTATTAAGAGCTACAAAAGACAGGAAATAGTGGAGAGCTGTGCTCGCCAACGTCATGAAGGGGCACGGCACACAGAAGAACGATCTTGAGTAAATGAAGGGCGGAACAAGGTTTAGGAGAGATAACAAAAAGACAATTTATTAAGAGCTACAAAGGTCAGGAAATAGTGGAGAGCCATGATCGCCTACGACGTGAAGACGCAAGGCACACAGAGGAAGAATATGTTTATGTCATATTGACTCATATAAGGGTTATATTTTAACCCTTTGTTCCCTGCGTTCCTGAACAATTTGAAAGTTACAATTGTTTACCCACCGTTCAACCGGTGATTGAGCCATACGCCATCTTTCTCTAATACCGGTAAATCGGTGGTCAGGGCTCAAAGGGTTAAAAATAGATTATACAGTGTAACCCGGATATAAGAGAGTTGTCTTATATCCGGGTTTCTCTTATATCCGGGTTTGGTCTAATTTATATACATTAACACAGGCTCTAATTTGGGACCAGAGAAAATCTCTCTTACATCCGGATTTCTCTTATATCCGGGTCTCTTATATCCGGGTTACACTGTAGTATTAATTAGACATCCGAAGTTATCCACCAGATTTTGAGTCAGCTGAAGTTGGTTTGATCTGGCACAAGGCAGTAAATTATAGGCACCCATTAAAATTCTCACTGAAGTTTTAATAGCCTTCTGCTGTCTTCTGATGAGTTGCACTTCGGTTAGTTTGGCACAAGGCTACAGTATGTGATCCGATCGTTGAGGATCAAATCCACAGAACAGTAGAGACAACCTCTGGTTAAACTGTCAACTATTGTACGTCAGCGACTTCGTGGTCACATTAAAATGGATTTTTTTTTTAAAAAAAAAGGTTGAAAAATGTAGGAAATATCGTGAAATATGTTTGGCAAATGTTGGGACATGTGGGTCAAAATTAAAAAAAATATTGGCTGTTTTTGTTTTTACTTCCGCTCATTGAATTGTTCCTTCCGGTTCAACAATTCTTTCGCCCGACCCTGCATTCCAGAAACTCAGCCGTGCAAAGACAATTCTTTAAGCTTGTCTCTTGAAGTCCCTGACTAACCCTTGTCTTGATCTCCCTCGATACCAGCCACCACCCAAGAATCAGTGTAAAAGATTAGTTTAGATTTCGCGTGACGGATTTCACCCGTCGGCTGTTTCCCCGAGTCGTTTGCCTATTTCGTTTCGTAGGTATACATCTTTATTGACAACATGGCTAAAAAGTACACACGTATACAAACAAATAAACAATCACGATTAAAAAAAAAGTGTTTTGTTTGTAGCATAGGTTTTCTATATAACCCACACGTCACTATTTTGGTTAACGTTCAAGGAAGATAGCAGATAAAATTACATTAAATAAATCTCTCTCAATACAAATCTGTTCATACGATTTCTCTCTCTCTCTCTCTCTTTCTCTCTCTCACAGTCTGTCGCTCCCGGTGTCTTGGTCTGATTCTATCTATCTGAATCTGTTTATTTCTCTCTGAGTCTGTCGTTCTCTCTCTCTCTCTCTCTCTCTGAGTCTGCCTGTCGCTCGCTCTCTTTCTCTGCCGCTCTCTTTCTCTCTGAGTTTGTCTGTCGCCCTCTTTCTCACTCTGAGTCTGTCGCCCTCTTTCTCACTCTGAGTCTGTCGCTCTCTCTATCTATCTCTCTGAGTCTGTGTTATGGAGTGATTTCACAGTGGAGTCTTGTATTTGTACTAAGTCGGTCCTAAAACAGGTTCGACGTACAAAACGTTAGGAACTTCATATAATAGGTATGACGCAGTAATCTAGTTGTGGTCGCTGATACTTTTAGTATCCGACTAACGGTCGTCCGACATCGACTGACTGACCAACTCAATGAGCGACTTCCACGTTACTATTACTACTCCTATTTATTATAGGTGGGAGAGTCAATTAACTATAGAATAGGTGTGTTCCAGTATAACAGTCTGTCTCTCTCTCGCTTTCTCTCTCTCTCTGTGAGTCTGTCTCTTTCTCTCTCTGTCTCTCTGTCTTTCGCTCTCTCTCTGTCTCTGAGTCTGTCTCTTTCTCCCTCTGTCTCTCTGTCTGTCGCTCTCTTTCTCTCTCTCTCTGTCTTTCGCTCTTTCTCTCTCTCTCTTAGTCTGTCTACCGCTCTCTTTCTCTCTTAGTCTGTCTGCCACTCTCTCTCTCTCTCTGAGACTGTCGCTCTCTCTCTCTCTCTGAGACTGTCGCTCTCTCTCTCCCTTTCTCTCTCCGTAGCTGAATCTGTACAATGGTAGGCGGCAATGTATTCACCGAGCAAATCCGTGAATATCTTTGTACACATAGGAATCAATACTGCGTAATAACGATATGTTTCATTCTTCAAAGCGATGTTAAGACTATCAGTATTTCTTCAGCAGGTTTATATACGAGCCTCTTATTCATAAAAGCAATTAAGATTTTCCAATTAAACAAAATCAGTAAATATACATAAAAAAAAGTGTGCTAAATCGTGGACAAACAAGAACAAAAAAGTATACAGCTATTAAAAAAGTACGCGGGATAGCGATGGGTAGACCATTAGGCCCTACAATGACCAATATATGTTGGCTTTTACGAGTAAGAGTTACTTGCTCGTATTGAAAGACCCAGGTATTACGCTAGATAGGTGAATGAAACTATTTGTATTTGAAAATGAGGTTAAGGCTTTAGTCTTCCATCAAGCACTTAATGTATTGCACACTGTGCTGTATTTCACATGTGAAAGTAACATTGTTCTCACTTTACTTAATGTCTTCGTACCAGGATCAAATACAGGTTTTCAAACATCAGTTTACTGGAAGCCAACTTTTACGAGTTATTATATGCCCAGTGGAATTCCTTCTGTTATAAATTCCAGTTGCATAAACAGGGATCATATCATTCATATACAGGTTCGGGGTTAGTGTCTTTTATTGAAATTGTTTGCGAAGATGTATTCTCGCCATTTAAATCATTAACCTCTATATTTGTTTTTTGTATGAATGATTCATGTAATTATAAATTGAACTGCACCTATAATCGAAATTAAAATAATTGATCCAACGTGCAACCTTCGGATAATAAGTGTGACATTCCTGTAATTATTGAACAATATAGTTCATGCCATATTGACGGAAAATCTACCAGTACAAAAGAATTCTCTTTTGTACAAAAACGCACAACCTTAAAATTTAAAATTCAAACTCAGTGTTGCGACCGCACGTTCCAAAACAATAACACATTTCTCATAGCATTTTTTCGGATTACATCTTTATTTTCGTTGTCCTCTTATTACCGAGAAGTAAAAAACAAGAACAAATCTATTTCCATACCTGAGGATGTCTGTAGGAACAGACGAAAGCTTGTAAAAACTAAAAAAGACCTTATGCAACTGGAATTTATAAACAGGGATCATATCATTCATATACAGGTTCGGGGTTAGTGTACCTTATTGAAATTGTTTGCGAAGATGTATTCTCGCCATTTAAATCATTAACCTCTATATTTGTTTGTTGTATTAATGATTCATGTAATTATATATATATATATATATATATATATATATATATATATATATATATATATATATATATATATATGCGCCACTGGCGTATTTCGTACAGAAAACATTAAATTTTCCCTTTCTGTGACGATAGCCTAGGAGTAGTATCCTGAATGATGCTAAATCGATCCCGGCTTGAAGTAATCAGACGTCTAGCCACATTGAAGAGCGGAACAGTTTGTCTGTGGATGACTAATATATATATATATATATATATATATATATATATATATATATATATATATATATACACACTTATTTATAAGTAAATAAGTAATCGGGAAGCATCCTCTTGGGAGTCGTTTCCACGAAAAAGGTAGAGGGTTACAGTAAGAGGCACAGTTGATGGGGATATGTGGGGAAGAAAACTGTTAACCCTAGACTTGAACAGGTTAAGATTGTAGTGATCGGAAAAGCATCCTGTTGGGAATCGGTTTCACCAAGCAGCCGTTCGTGGGAAGACGTTGCTCGAGTGGAACTTATATCTCACCAATGGAATAGAAAGGGAATGGGTGTGGGTTGTTACAATGTGTGTACCATGGCGGGTCTTAGACTTGAAGGTTAGAACTGGTGGAACTAAGGAATGTAGTTCGTTTGAACATTCTCCATGGAAATAGCGAGTGGCCTGCGACGTCTCGTCAATGAGAAAGGGGTTCTAGATACGGAGACGCTTCAGGACTCTATCGAGGCTGGAAAGTGAAGACTGGTCAGCTCCTGTCCATATATAGCAGCAGTACTCTATTTTTGGTCCGATCTGACCCTTTTAATAGAGGACAGCAGGAGGAGTCTTGTACTCACTGGACCGCTACGGAGAACTGAACATTTTTCCAGCAAGTTTAGCGATGGATCGTATGTACGAATTCTACTTCAAATCTGGGTTGAGTAAGTCCCAATAGGCGGTTAAGGCACGGGACTTCTCTTAGGGAACATCTATTCATCGTGATTGATGACAGCTCGGGGTACAAACGGTGGTGACTGAATGTAACTATTTTGATTTTCGACGCAACCACGGTATTTAACCGGAACGTCCCCACAAGGTCTTTAGCGTGTGGAATTCCGATCCCGTAGGCTCGGCCAAAAATTCCCCGTAGGCCCCCACATACACGGGGTCGGGATTTTTTACCACTCTGCACTTCGGCATAGTCTCGTCCGGGTTCCTCTGCCCGAAGGCAGAGAATTCGACAACAGCTAAGAGCTTAGTACGCAGCCGCCTCGAGCTGGCTAACTACCTGAATCCAACTGAGATGCTGGAATTAGATCGGAGAGATCAGCTGCCAATCTCTGGTCGTCTCGTCTATTCAAGGTGCACCCGTATATATCAATATAGATTCAGAAACTAAATTAGATTGAGCAATTTAATTTATTAGGAAAATTCTAAGCGAGTTACTTTTCGATATTTTAAGAGTCCAGCATTAAGGCAAAATTGCTGGTCTTCAAAGTAATTAACATTTAATGTTATATTTATTTTCTGCTTCTGGGGTTGTATATTTTTTAGTCGCTGTATATTTTTTTGATTGTCCTGGATTTTGCTTTGATTAGACGACCGATACACCGGATTAACTGTTTCATAATCGTTATATCTCGGTATTAACGATTTAGTGTATAATATATATATATATATATATATATATATATATATATATATATATATATATAAAAAAAAAGTTTAAACACTAATATTCCATGGTTATAATGTATTACATTGGAATTGGAATTACGATCCAATTCAATTGGATCCAATTCATCAGACCTAGGTAATTACGATTCCAATGTAATAAATTATGACCATTGAATATTAGTGTTTGAGACTTTTTTATTATATTCTTACTCTGTCTTGGACATTGAGTTCTACCTAGATTCTATCCTCTTGGAAATTTGTATATATATATATATATATACGTTTGTATATTAACAACTAATATTATCACTATATATATATATATATATATATATATATATATATATATATAAACAAATGTTTGGAGGTACAAAATTTATAAATAGTTTTTAAAACTAGTTTTTGATTTTAATATTAAAATTCTCTAATCCAACGATTGTCTCATCAGGGAGACAATGTTGGATTAGAAATGAATAATAGAGATATTTAATATTAAAAAGGAATGGTTTTAGTAGTTTTTAAAACTATTTATATATATATATATATATATATATATATATATATATATATATATATATATATATAGGTACCTCCACGAGATCGCTAAAAAAAAAAAGAGCATAGCATGATGAAAAAGACACCAAACGTGTTTCCCAGGTCCACCCTGGCCCAGGGTGGTAGCACCTGTTAGGATCCCAGCTATGGGCAAATAGTTAACTATTACCAGCAATACTTTTTTTGAAAAAATTATTACCAGCAATACAATTTTGAAGGAAAAATATTACCAGAAACAAATTTTGAAAAACAAAATATTACCAGCAATAAAAAATGTTGTCGGCATTAAATAACCCATTGAGGTTGATATGCAGTAAAACAAAATAAACCAAACCAATCTAAACCAAAGAATACATATTCTATTCATACGAATCTATCTAAAATTTTGTCGGCATTAAATAACCAATTCAGGTTGATATGCCATTAAACAAAATAAACGAAACCAAACTTCGAGTGCTCTTGGCTGTCATAAGCCATTATATATATATATATATATATATATATATATATATATATATATATATATATATATATACACTTTGATAATGGCTTATCATTTTTTTTTTTACTACATTATTTACATTATTCGGACTGTTATCCTCCTCTTCATCGCCATATTCACCACGTTTAATGGCAGGTTTAATCGGCGTTATGTGTCATAAGTGGTACACGCTTAGGCGATCATGTATCTTTTGATACATGACTGGCAAGGCAGACTTTTTCCCTGTGTAGGTTGCCATTTCTTTCTGTGGTAGACAGGTTGCCATCCAAGGCTATAGAACCTGGTCTATCCTGCTATTTACCCATAGCTGGAGGGGAGAACAAGATTCATACCTTTCCCAAGGGTATTCACATTATGCATAATCTATTCTCTCAGTAATGCTTGCCTTCATTCCTGACCACTGACAATCCCTCTCCTCCACATTTTCAATGCGCTCCTGTAGTAAAATCAAAAGTTATCAGTCAGTCAGTTATGTGCCATGCGTGATACACGCTTAGGCGATCATATATCTTTCGATACATGACTGATGATGCAGATTTTTTGCTATTTCTTTTTGCGGTAGACCAGTTGCTATAGAATCCGATCTGTCCTGTTATTTATCTATAGCTGGGGGGAGAAAAAGAGGATTCATACCTTTCCCAAGGGTATTAGCACGTAAGTGAATGTAATGGATTCGACTGGAATTCGAACTCGGCTCTCTGATTCCTCAATCTGAGCCGCTATCCATTACTCTACAGTGCCGCCGTTGTAATGTAGTTGTTTTTCTTTATTATTTTTTTTAATTATTTTACCACAAGTAAAGCGATAATTCTACGAAGAGGCACGGGCTTACCGAGAGGAAAATAGAATAAAACTAATGAGAAGAAAGGACAATAAAAGAACAGATTTCAGGAAGACAGATGATTGCAACTGAAGTTGCATTTAAATTTTTGAAGATTGTAGGTGTCAGGAAAACAAGAAAACGGAAAATAGTTCCACAGACGAGAAGTGTGAGAAAAGAAAAGAATCTCTTAAGATAGAAACTTCGGTCTCATCTATTTCAACAGTAAAACGATGAGATGTAATTGCCAATCCAGTACTGCGCTTAAATTCACGAGTTTAAGGTACCAAGGATGAGACAGATATCTATTTCTGGATATACCAAAAAGTGGGGATGGAGAAGGTTGGTCTTCAACTATTTTATATTTAACTTAGCTCGCCTCAATCACTGACCCAAACGTACTATAATATAATATCCAGAAAAGGCATGGCACGTGGAACTAGAACAATCTATCCCCGTGAACTAAAAAAAAGAGTTCACAAATATCACCTGAATTAGACCGGAGCGTACAAAGATCGAAAAGTCGTGAATATGACAATGAAAATGAGGATAACATATTTTTTTTTTTTTTTTAAGCAAATTCCACCCCAAGCAAGACGGGAAGCCACTAGCACGCAAGGGGTTACAGAGAGTTGGAGCGAGAGCAAATAGGAGTGATAGAGAAAAGGATGAAGAGAAGGATAGGGAATAGATCAAGGCATCTGGAGACGTCGATTGACATTATATTTGAATAGTTGGAGATTATAGCTATCAGGAAAACAAGAAATGGGGAGGGAGTTCCACAGGTGAGAAGTGCGAGACATGAAGCTATTGGAGTAGAAGAGACGGCTACATTTAACAGTTTCGACAGTGAAAGGGTGATAGCGAGACGCCAGCCTAGATGAGCGCTTAAATTCATGAAGTCTGGGAACCAGCGAATGCAGCTCATCGGAGCAGTATTTGTAAAAAAGACAGAGGGAGGCAACGGCACGTCTGTGAGAGAGCGGCTGCAGACGAGATGCCAGATCAGGGCCAATTACATTGCATATCCGTCTTTGGATTGTATTAAGGACCTTGAGACATTTAGAAGGGGCTCCAGACCATATATGGCAGCAATACTCCATGCAAGGGCGAATGGTTGATTTGTAGATTTGAAGGATCGACTCCGGTCGAGAAATTTTCCTGGCGCGGCACAGGGAGCCATCTTTCCTTCCGGTAAATGCTGTAAATAATTACAGACCCTTCTTGGGATTTTGTTGAGAATCTCGAAGAACCAGACCAGATTTATTCTTTTCACGTGTGATCATGTTTTATTAATTTCTTTCTCTTTTTCTTTCGTAATAACTGGAAAACTTATTTTTTGTGGTGGGGTTTTTTAGATGATATACATTAGGTGTCTTTTTCTTTGTTTTTTGTATTTTTTTCGATCTAGTTTCTGGATATCATATAGGAGGTTGGCCATTTTGTTTAGAGGCATATCAACCTCTGGGTTATTTAATGTCGAAATCTAAATATTTTGTACGTGATTTTTTATTTTTGGAAATAATAATGGTCTAGTAATACAAGTTTTACTAATTAATCCATAGCTGGGGGGAGATGAGGGAGGGTAATAACTTTTTCAAGGGTATTTGCACGTAAGTGAATTGAACGAACCCAACTAGAACTCTCCGAGTAACAATATCGGGTCATTCTGCAATATACCACCCGCACATTCATACTTACATCATTCGGTATTCCCAGGTGGTCACCCTTCTAGGTACTGACCAGGTTCGACATTGCTTAACTTCGGTAGTCGTACGGCAACCGGTGTTTCAACGAGATGTGGCCGTAAGCTTTGTGTTGGCGGTTTTTGTAGAACAGTTTGTACGTCATTATTAACATTATTATTATTATTATCATGACTAACATTATTATTATTATTTTATTGGAGGGACCTAAGGTTAGAAATGGCATCATGACACTTTCCAGTGACAGAAAAAATACATAGATAAAGCCTTTCGTAAAGTGTGGGCTGTACTTGTCAGAACAATTTCTTGTATCTCCTTGAGGCATGGACTTCCAGGAATCCCTTCAATTAGTCTACTGCAATCTTTTCCAAACAGTCCTAGGGCTCCAACTACAACAGGGATTGTTGATGTTCCCATGTGCCACATTTTTGAGATTTCTATTTCAAGGTCCTTGTATTTTGACAGCTTTTTGAATATCTTCAAAGATACATTGCAGTCAGCAGGGACTGCCATATCAATAACGAGGCACTTTTTTTTGTTTGTGGTTTTTAATAACAATATCTGGGCGGTTGGCTTTGATTGTTCTGTCAGTGTGTATTGTGTAGTCCCATAGAATTGTAACAGGTCCTATCTCCGTAACCGGTCATCATCATTATTATTATTATTATTATCATCATTATTGTTATCATTATTTTTATTTTTTTTGATTCCTGGCGTTTACACATTTCTTTCCCAGGGACCTAAGGTTAGAAATGGCGTCATGACACTTTCCACTGACAAAAAAAAAAAAAAAAAAAGAATTAAATTACATAGATAAAGCCCTTCGTAAAGTGTGGGCTGTACTTGTCAGAACAATTTTTTTTGTATCTCCTTGAGGCATGGACTTCCAGGAATCCCTTCACTTAGTCTACTGCAATCTTTTCCAACCAGTCCTAGGGCTCCAACTACAACAGGGATTGTTGATGTTCCCATATGCCACATTTTCATTATTGTTATTATTATTATCATTATTGTTGTTGTTATTATTATTGTCATCATTATTATTATCATCATATTATTCATATTATTATTATCATTATTATCATTATTATTATCTTCATCGCCGCCATTTGCTTATTTTTTTTCCTATGGTTAGTTTTAATGTCTTCATGGCTAGGGAAATTGTTAATTAATGTTATTTATGCCTAAAGGGGACAGAAAAGCTGATGAGATGGCTCACTTGTAAAATTGTGACGAAATAATTGATTGTTTTTTTTTTTTTGCGTTGGCGAAGAGCATCTTTGTCTGAATGAGAACCTTTCAGCATGTGTGTGTGTGTGTGTACGCGGTTGGTTGTTTTTGTTTAGTGTCATTTCTATAAATATTTTCATATTTATATATAAACATTTTGCCTTAATTTTTAGCCGTCAAAATCCATTCTGTTGGCCGTAAATTGCCTATTGCAGGTCTATATGCCGACTCATGGTCAATTAGTTTTCTTTTTTTTTTTCTTTTTCTTTTGCTGCTGTGTCTTTTGTTATCATGTCCCTTCCTATCTTCGCACCAATTTAGCGCTTGCCGCCGGCCTTCTTTGCACCTATTTCACCCGAAAGCCCCCCCCCTGGCCGAGAGGCGTAATGGGTACCGATGGGGACTCGTTTGCACTGATTCAACCCAGCGAGCCGCACAAAAACACATGCCCGATTTAACGAGGTGAATGATGAATAGATACAAATACCTGTCTCTCTGTCTGTCTCTCTCTTTCTCTTTGTCACTTTCTCTTTGTCTCTCTGTGTATCTTTCTCACTCTCTCTTTCTCTGTATCTTTCTCACTCTCTCTTTCTCTGTATCTTTCTCTGTATCTTTCTCTGTATCTCTCTTTCTCTCTATCTTTCTCTATCTTTCTCGCTCTCTCTATCTTTCTCTCTCTCTCTATCTTTCTCTCTCTCTCTATCTTTCTCTCTGTTGGTTTCTCTCTATATATCTCTCTCTTTGTATCTTTCTCTCTGTTGCTTTCTCTCGCTTTCTCTTCCTCTCCCTTTATCTCTTTCTCTGTCTCTCTTTTTTCACTCACTATCTCTCTTTTTTCACTTACTCTATCTCTCTTTTTTCACTTACTCTATCTCTCTTTTTCCACTTACTCTATCTCTCTTTTTTCACTTACTCTATCTCTCTCTTTTCTCACTTACTCTATCTCTCTCTTTTCTCACTTACTCTATCTCTCTCTTTTCTCACTCATCTTCTGTCTCTTTTTTTCTCACTCTCTGTCTCTTTTTCTCACTGTTTCTTTCTCTCTCTGTCTCTTTCTGTCCGTTGGTCTCTCTGCGTTTTTAAAAGGTTTTCGGTGGAACTAACTTCTCAACATTCCACTGAGTTCAAAACGAAAACTGTCCACCTGCTTCATATCCATACTTAAGTAGATACCTATATCAACCTTCCTATGTCTGTCCTCGCTCACACACACGTGGGTGGCTCCGATATACCCCTACTATTAATTTCTCCGATAACTTCGACAGATATAGGGAGGATAATAGTCGTTATCAATCATTGGCTATGCGCTTATATAGCTTGTACATAAAATCCCCACCACCCACCCACCGCGCAAAAAACCCCCCAAAAAACAGTGTTCACATCTACTATTTGGTCTCCGTAAACTTTCAGCTCAAAATGTTAGCGGATATGTATTGACCACCCCATGTCAATTCTTTTTAAATTACTGATATTAATGCATTAACTCTTAGCTCCTTTAATTGCGAAGCACACACACACACACACACACACACACACACACACACACACACACACACACATATATTAATTCAATTTAAATAGAAAACAGACAACCTTAAGGCTGTCTGCTTTCTATTTAAACTGAATTAATAATTGCTTTGATTTGACATTGAGCACTCTGGATTACATCCTCCTTGGGATTATCAATACAGATTACCAAACTTTTTATTACTTAACATATATATATATATATATGTTATATTATATATATATATATGTGTGTTATATTATATATATGTTTTATTATATATGTGTGTGTTATATTATATATATGTTTTATTATATATATGTGTGTGTGTGTTATATTATATATATGTTTTATTATATATATATGTGTGTGTGTGTGTTATATTATATATATGTTTTATTATATATATGTGTGTGTGTTATATTATATATATGTTTTATTATATATATGTGTGTGTTATATTATATATATGTTTTATTATATATGTGTGTGTTATATTATATATATGTTTTATTATTTATATATATATATATATATATATATATATTTTTTTAAGCATTTCACCCCAAGCAAGGCGGGAAGCCACTAGGACGCAAGGGGTTACAGAAAATAGCAAGATCAGATAGGAGTGATAGAAGAAAGGATGAGGGTAGTGGATAGATTAAGGCAACTGGAGATGCCGATTGACATTACACTTGAATAGGTGGAGATTATAGCTCACAGGGAAACAGGAGAAGGGAAGGGAGTTCCACAGGCGAGAGGTGCGAGACATGAAGCTATTAGAGTAGAAGAGACGGCTATATTTAGGAGTTTCGACAGTGAAGGGGTGAGAGTGTGATGCCAGCCTCGTAGGGCGCTGGAACTCACGACGTCTGGGAACCAGCGAATGCAGCTCCTCGGAGCAATTTCCATGAAAATATTTGTAGAACAGACAGAGGGAGGCGACGGCGCGTCTGTGAGAAAGTGACTGTAGACGAGACGCCAGGGCAGGGCCAACTACATTGCATATCCGCTTCTGGAGCCTATCAAGAACCCCGAGGCAAACAGAAGGGGCGCCAGACCATATACGGCAGTAATACTCCATGCAAGGGCGAATTGTGGATTTTTATATCTGGAGGATTGACTCAAGGGAGAAAAACTTCCTAGCGCGGCTCAGGGAGCCAACTTTCCTCGCAGTGGACGAGGCAATTGACTCAATGTATTTATTCCATCTCAGGTCAGCAGTCAACGTGAGACCGAGAAGCCGCAGAGAGTTGCTCTCGAGAAGTTGAGCGTCAGACATTCTAATGGAGGGAAGGGAAGGATCTCTGTGGTGATTAATAGAGAGCAGTTTTGTCTTCGATGCGTTGAAGTTGACCAGCCAATTCATGCCCCAGTTCACAATCGATTGGAGGTCCATTTCTAGACGCACGGCCAGGTGAGTTTTGTCAGCGAGACTAGATTTGTTTCTGAGGCAGGAATAAATTGTGGTGTCATCCGCGTAGATGCCAACTTGGGAAGTTACGGCGTCAGGAAGGTCATTTATGTAGATAAGGAATAGAGTGGGGCCTAGGATGGAGCCTTGAGGAACACCTGCGTTCGTGGGATAGGTATATATATGTGTGTGTGTGTGTGTGTGTGTTATATATATGTTTTATTATATATATATATATATATAACATATATATATATGTTATGTCATATAAGCGGCCATAATATAAGGAACGGAAACAACAAAGACAAATATTTAAAAAGTAATGCATGATTAGCAATGAAATCTTTACCGAATAAAGATTATGTTATATATATATATATATATATATATATATACATGAATTATTCACACAAAAACTAATGCAAAGGTTAATGATTTAAATGGCGAGACATCCATCATCGCAAACAATTCAAATAATATACAAAAACCTCCGTATCCGTTATGAATGAAATGATCCTTGTTTATATAAATTTCTGCCGTATTAGTTCTTATTTTACTACAAGCTTTCGTCTGTTCCTACAGACATCTTCAGGTATAGAATAGATGTTGTTCTTGTTTTTTCTCTTAGTAATAAGAGGACAACGAAAATCTATGTATTGTTGTATCCGAAAATGCTATTGAAAATGAGTTATTGTTTTTGGAGCGCGTAAAAAGAAACGCTGAGTTTGATTTTAAATTTTTAAAGGTTGTGCGTTCATATAAAATATGGTGATGAACAAATTTTTTACTGGTAAATTTTTCTGTCAAAATGGCATGAACTATATTGTTCAATAATTACAGTAATGTCGCACTTATTATCCAAAAGTCGCACTTGGATCAGTTATTTAAATTACGATAAACGTGCAGTCAATTTACAAATACAGGAATTATTCACACAAAAACTAATGCAAAGGTTAATGATTTAAATGGCGAGACATCCATCATCGCAAACAATTCAAATAATATACAAAAACCTCCGTATCCGTTATGAATGAAATGATCCTTGTTTATATAAATTTCTGCCGTATTAGTTCTTATTTTACTACAAGCTTTCGTCTGTTCCTACAGACATCTTCAGGAGGTTTTTGTATATTATTTGAACAAGGATCATATATACAAAAACCTCCTGAAGATGTCTGTAGGAACAGACGAAAGCTTGTAGTAAATTAGTTAGTATTATTTTCATTTTGGCGTAACTTAGACGACAATATATTCATCGCACCTTCTGCGTGTGCGTATATATATATATATATATAGAGAGAGAGAGAGAGAGAGAGTTAGGATCAAATGTGGATCGGAATGCGGCCGAATTGGTAAATATTACCGGCCTGAATGTCCGAGAAATTGTCATAGAAAATAAATATTTGTATCTATAAAAAAGAATGTATAAACATAAAAATGTCTTAAGATAATTGTCGGTCTTTGTCCATTTCATAATGTGCGACGTCATTTGTTTACATTTGGATACGCCTTAAGCAGATATGAATGTACACGAGAAAATCATGGAAAATTGTAGTTTAAAGACAGTAAAATCGACCTTGCTAACCGAAACGCCCCTCTGTGGCGAAATCTGTAAAAGCACATCAGGCTATATGACGGTTCCGTATAGCATACAGGTTCGATTCCTGTCGGAGGACGCATATTTTCTATGAAAATTTCTCGGACATTGAGGCCGGTAAATATTGTTAATACTGTTTATTATAAGCAGAGCATTTACTTAAATATTTGTATCTATAAAAATAACGTATAAACATAAAAAATATCTTAATATATACAAAAGCAAAAATAACGCGCACGTTAGGCTATATGGCAGTTTCGTGTAGTATACAGGTTCGATTCCTGTCAGAGGACACACATTTTCTATGAAATTTCTCTGACATTCAGGCTGTTAAATGTCGTTAATACTGTTTATTATAAACAGAGCATTTACTTAAATATTTGTATCTATAAAAAAAAAAAATGCATAAACATAAAATGTTTTTTATATATATATATATATATATATATATATATATATATATTCTAAGGTAGTGGATCTTGTATATCAATCCGACAGATATTTTTATCACTTTAAACGTTATTTTTAGTGGATATTCATATTTGAGTAGACGCTCCGTAAAATGAATGGAATGTCTACTCAAATATGTGTATCCACTAAAAGTCAGTTAGTTGCACACATACATGCATTGAGAAAGTGAGTAATTTTACTTAAACAGGTTTTTGCTAACACAACCAGCTGGTATGTTTGATTTTTTTTTTATTATTATTTTTCTAATTTTATTCGAAATTTAGAAAAATGCAATAGAAAAAAAATAAAACGTACAAATCTTGTTGGTTGAGTGGAACGAAACTTGTTTAAATCCTATGAGGCATATAAATAAATATGTCTGTCATCATTTGTTCAAAACTTATGGCATTGAAATGACAGATGAGTAAAATTGTGTTTCCCGTCCCCTCCCCACTCAACTTGCAAGTTAGGACAGCTAGCCTCTTTTGAAACTCGTCAAGCGAAATCGTGGTTTTTCGAACATCTACCTGATACATTGAGAAGTAGTCTGTCCTTTCTCTCCCCGCCTCTTTTAGACTTCATCTGTTTGTCTATCTCAATGTAGCCATTATCTTTATTTATATCGTTAACCTTTCTTGTCTATCCTTGTAATAAAACAATATATATATATATAAATTGTAATCGTTTGTGCTTTCCAAATGCAGAGACGAAAATAAATTCCTGCATCTCTGCAATGTTTTTTATTTTTATGTCATTTTTGTCTCTGTGAAACCTTTTTTTATCCATTTTAATATGTTCTGTGTCTCTTTAGTTTATGGGTGATCATGGCTCCCCACAGCTTCCCGTATTTCGTTACTTTAAGTAAATTTTTTTCCCTTCACCATCTCTTTTAGTACTCGTTTAATCTATGTAGATTACATACTGTTTCTGCCTATATTTCTGAGATGAGGTATTGTAATTATTTACATTATTCGGACTGCTGTCCTCATCTTTGTTGCCCTATTCACGACGTTTCAGCCGTTTTACGCTTCGACCTTCATCAGGATATATCTATATTTCTGAGATGAGGTATTGTAATTATGAGCATTATTCGGACTGTTGTCCTCATCCTTATTGTCATGATAAAGAAGGCCGGAGCGTACAAGGGCCGAAACATCGTGAACATGATAATAAAGATGGAGACAACAGTTCAAATAA